AACGTAGCTATTTTAAAATGCATTTATGTACTACTCAGGAGTCAGAACTCGGAAGGTCAACTCGGAATTTGTTAAAAAATTATATACATACTGAGTAGAAATATATAACGTTCAGTATATTATTAAAAACTGGTTTTTAGTTGATGTGTTTTAACAATCGTCAATCTAATCAAATATAAGATATATTTTGGAAAAAAAATACAAATGCTTGTTGAGTTTTGTTTAGTAAGAGCACGAAGCAGTGATAATGATTTGAATACTTATCAGTTGAGGCCAATTAACTTTTTTATAATTGTATTTAGATGATTATAATACATAGTTGATAAGTATCACTAGAAGACAACAATGGACATTATTATATAAAATAATGCCAAATTAACATTTATTGTCTCCTATATTTTAAAGCTAGAGGTATTTACTCTGATTTTTAAGTAAAAAAACTTAAAAATATAACCAGTTACAAAAAAACATTGAAGTCATAAAATTCTTTCATATAAATCATGCATAGTATATATTATTGATTTTCCCAATTTAAAAATAGAATTATCCACGGCTATCTAACTTTGTTCTAAGATATTTATTTTTATAAGCCACATTTTTTGGATAAAATTAAATATACACTATAAAGTTGCATTTCACATGTTATATTATACTAAACATAATATTATATAATATTTTTAATTAATTCATTAAATTTAACATTTTATGTGGATAACATCATAATTTCTACGATTGATTATTATTAAAACAAATTAATAGTAAAGAAAATTTAATTTACCATAATATCGTATAAATTATATATTTAATTATTTTTTTAATTCAATTGTATTATTTAACATTAACAATATATAGCTCGTGTTAACGATAAAATTCAAAATTTCAAGATATGAGTATTATTTAAAATTACTGAATGAATGTCCCATTGAAAATGATTTATTTAGAGTGGTAGTAAAATTAAATGTACAACATAATATATTGTGTTACTAATGTGAATTATAGCATGTAAACTTTATGGTAAATTTTAAATATTAGACATGTTGCTTTTACGCCAATAGCTCATCGATAGAAAAATATTAGACTGTATACGATTAGTGTTCATCTCACTAGCCGATAATTATGTAAAAACTATTTTTACTATGCTGTTGATTCTGGATCAGAAAAATATTGTTTAAGCTTATGAAAGTAATTTTATTACTCTTTTCTTTCACAATTAGTTTTGTATAAAAAAAATACTGTTTTTTTTCTTTCTAGATAGTAATTATTAAGTTATAAAATAATTGCATTAGTTTATTAACGAGTAGGTGGGTATAATATATTTTGAATATTATGTAAACGTATTAATGAACTTGAATGTAGATGTAAAAAAGATACCTTTACGCCTTTACTATCTATATTTAAAATGCTTTAAGGTTAGTTAAAAATATTAAATAATAGTGTCAGGTTGTATATCTTATTTTTGTCAACACCTAAAATTATGAAAAGATATATAAGTTCATAGACATTTATAGTTTTTTTTCCTTCAAAGAGCTATTAGTTATCTTATACCCACATAACTAACAGCTCAATAATTATCATGACTTTGCGTCACATAATACAAGGTCTATCAGCATTAATTAATTTTTTACTCGTAAATTTTTTAGCTACTTATATTTTTAATACGTCTTACCGACAATATTATTAATTACGACTTAAAAGCTCCGTCGAGAAAAGTTTTATTCAAATATACATTATTTACGATTGATTTAAAATATTTATTGGCGATACATACCTCACCCTTTGCCGTCACTGTGCCAATAGTGGCACCCAGTAGACTAGTAGAGCATAGCAAGACGAGTGCTCCAATTCCACTTTCTATTCTTCTATTTCTTTTTTTTTTTTTACAAATTATGTTTTTTATAAATTTAATTAGCATAGTATAATCTATTTAAAATTGAAACGAGTAGAAAACAAAATGTTTTTTTTTTAATAATAATACCCTCGGCAACATGGGCCATTGGGCTTACAGTGCAAAAATTAAAATGTTTTTGTGATAGTATATAAGTATAAATATTTATAAATAGAAATAAATAAACAAGACGTTTGGTTACAAATTCGAACCATTGCACGCTAAATAAGGAAAAATAAAATTAGCACTACAAGATATAAAAACCAATTTATGGGTGTCTAACATAATTCATAGTTATTAATAAATTATGGGTTGCACGTAGACCGTGAGGGTTGAATCTTTAGGGATGTCAGTTTTCGTTGATAAAAACCATGATGGTACGGAAATAATATAGTGCCAACTAGGTACCAACAATAGTTATGGCCTTGGGAACTGTTGTTTGTTTTGTAGAACATTTTGGATATTCCCTCAATGAAATATCGTTAATCGCCTATCTTAATATTAAATTACTTGTTGGTTTTGCCTTATGGGCAAATGGAATGTGAGAAATCAGTTTAAGCTGGTTGGTGTGAAATACTAACAAAAATGGTTTGATTATTGTTTTTAGTACACAAACGTTTTCTTATACTTTGAATTTTATGTTGTATATATATATATTATTTACTTTATTAAATTAACTATGGATATTGTCTTAGAATGTGTTAAAAATATTTTTTAAAATTACAGACATACATTTAAGGTCGAGGACGAACATTAATAATGTACCTACCTACCTTATTAATACATACTACCATAAATAATTTAATGGAATCAATACTGCATTTTACACATAATAACACATGGGGACCAGTATGTTTATGATTTTTTTTTCATATAAAATTTGTTTATTAAATATATTTTAAAATTTACATTTTTTCACAGTAAGTACATTTTAGTACTTACCTATAATGATGAAGACCCTGATAAAAATTGTAAGAGCAACTCACCTCAGTTACCTTTATATGGTTTAATTATTTACATAAGATATTCAGAAAATAAAAGTATTTTTAATCAAGTGATAGAATTGGTATTTAGGGAAGGAAAAAAAACAATTCTAAATAATTTTCAAAAAAATATAAAAAACATATATGAAATATAAAAAATCAATTTTGTATTATTGTTGTTTTCAAAAATTAATAACAGTAATTAACTATATATATTTTAATTACTAACGATTGGAAATGTATTTAATTTTTAGTCAATAACAGCTAGTATTATTATATGAAATAATATGATAATGATTACTTAATTATTATATAGGTAAGTGATATGTTTCTGACTAAAATTAGCTCAGTCTTCTATATTCTTTTAAAAATCAGATCAGCCTCCTGTATAAGTAGTTGAAAAATAAATTACTTATAGCAATATAAATTTATAATATAATATCTTCTGAAGTATAGGCTGACAGAAGGCTATTTGAGTTTCTGCTCAATATCGTTTTTTACGAATGAATATTTATCATTATATTAAAATTTAACACACCCATTCTGGTGACCTGCTGAATGACTGATACCTAGCAGAGAGACTTCCTCGGATAGGAAATGACACATTTTAAAGTTAAGTTTCTATTTTTGCTTGTAAAGTTGATGTACATGTATTTCATTGCGAATTACATTTTAATAGTATATTAATAAATAACACAATAGTACGTAGGTACTTAAGTTTTTCATTTAAAAAAAGAAAAATCAATCTATAAATTAAAAAATACATTTATTAAATTGTCCACATTATTTTTGGCAAAATTATATTGTAGGAATCGTTTTTAACATTAAACGTTCGATGAATGCTTAAGTAAAGATTCATATCTAATTTTTATGAATGTCATTCCAACTTATTTATTTTATGAATTATGTATGACATGTTACAACAGGACTGGATAAAAACGCTGGTATTATTTTCACATACATGCTGTTGATATTTTGTATTATATTTCGTGGAAAATTTCAAAACCAATGTACCTACCAATTATAATACAGGAAATGGGAATAAAAATTAAAAATGTTAATATATATTAATAATATTCATAATATAATATATAATTATGAACATCGCATTATTACAAAAGTATTATAATTGTATCTTTGCAAATTTTAGATTTTTAGAACGGGTGGAAGAAAAATAATGCAATTAATTTAATCTTTTTTAATAATAATATACCTTACTATCTTCACAATGCTAACAGATAAACAATTTATACTGTTGTTATGTTGTGAGGTTTTAATTTAAGCTCAATAATTGGTTTATTATGTATTTCAATCGATTCATAATTAACAATTTTTGAGGCGTTTAAAAAAAAAAAAACATAACAAGATATAATTTTATGATAAACCATGTACATATTTACATATTATATTTCATAACAAGTTATACCTAATATTTAATATAGGATATTTTAGATATTTTCTAAAAGGAGAAATACAAATGGAGATAATAGATTGAAGTTATAAAGGTTTCAACGTCATAACAACATAACCTTAGGCTAATTTGCTTTAAAATTTTTCACAAATGTTATATCTCAAAATATTTACTGTAAATTGATAGAAAAAAAGATGAGCTATTTAAAAATGTAAAACATTTGAGGTTTTCAGTAGGTACTCAACCTAAAACTATGTATACAATATATTACATGTCAACTATTCAACTATTTCCGATCAAAGTTCAAATCATTGGCTTTGAAATTAAAGTTTTAGATGTCGTATGTTGTATATTCATGACAAACGTTCAGATAGTTAAAAATAATTGGAATGTTTTTAATATTGTTAATTCAGCTGTATTGGTTTAAACTGTAAGATTTAAAAAAAAATGTATGTTTTATACTGAATAATGTATATTGTTTTAGTTGATTACCTAACTATAAAAACAATTAAAATACGTATAAGTATATAAAACTTAAAAATGGATTAATTTATTACTATATCATAATATTGTTCAGCGTGCGACTAAACATACCAGCCAAACGAGTTTGTAAATTTAGTTTTTCTAATAGGTACATGTTAACTAAAATGAAAAAAGTAGGGAGACGATTTTCTGTCGGAATCGAGACGAATAATTAAACATGAACGACGCTCAGAACGTTTTAAAAGCACACGACCATAGTCAGACTGCGTGGAGTTTGAAGTTTGTCGAGGTTGACAGTAGTTCAATTAAATTTATCCGATAAAAATCGTACAATATGACTGCTAATATTTTAAACATTGTTTGCGGTCTTGTGTGCGTTGTCATCGTGTGTGTAAATGCCGCTCCTTCATCGAAATTACGTATGTATATCATTTATATTTATATGTCTAACAAAGTAAAACAATTGATAGGTTCTATGGATAAACTCTATGGAAAAAATGAACAGAAAAATTCGCTAGTACAGTTAAATATTACAACAAATGCTACAGCTTTCGCTAGACTTAATAATATCCTAGCTTATTTTCATATTTTTTTTGTGACAACATTAATGTATGATGTAATTTATTGTAAAAATTGTTAACAGATTCTCATAAATTTATGATTTACTTACTGTCTATGCGCTGTATAAATTATTAAATTAATAATACTAATATTTAGTAATGATATAAATAAATGATTATTATGTATTAATTGTTTTAATTTACTATCAATTATTCTTATTCATGCATTAAAAGATTTCAAGTTTTGTAGGGAAATTTCATAGAGTTTCATGATTTTAAGATACTGTGTTTACTCGTAGGTGACGAAACATTACAGTCATATTTTATCGTGCTAACATAGTACAAACATTTTTTTCAAGACATTAAGTGTTTGTAAATTATATATATATTGTAGGAGACTGCCTTATATGCCTTTTTATGCAATATTAATACTATAGTTTTTCTAATAAAATAATTTTTTTTAAAATTTATTTCAAATATTAAAGTAAATTTTTACGACATTTTCTTTTTGAATTGAGTAAATTTATGTTTATGAAAATATATAAATATACATATATAAATAACTTAATTTTTTTTTCAATTTAAGATGATTTTTTGGGTTTTTTTAAAATTAATTGTTGCCTAAAATTCAAATTTTGTTTAATTGTTTCATAATTGGTACTTAAACTGTTTTTATATTATTTCTAACTATTGTATATCCTTATTTGTTAATATTGATTTGGTTGAATAAATTGTTTATAAATTATTTATCTATGATCGCAAACGTGATTCTTTTAAAAATTATAAATTAATATGAACATTTTTATATTATTATTGACTATGTTACGATGGCATTCTTTAACCCTGACTATAAAAAAAACTATTGATTTTAGAAATTCTTTTGTAACTATGCACTGGAGTTTTGGTTTGAACATTATTTTCAGTGCATTATTATATAAAAATAAGTTTAGACAGTATTTAAATGTATTATGAATAATAAATGATGCTTTTTAACACTGATTTTAAAATTCATTTAATTTCAAGTAAATATTTAAAATGTTAATAATTTAATGTTGCAGCTAAAGGTTTTATACAATGCAAAAAAAGTGATCCTAATTTTGATGGATGTTTAAAGATGGGACTTCAAAGTGCTGTGCCACATTTAGCAAAAGGTAAAAATAAACACAATTCCAGTATTGAAAATACACTTTTTTAGATTCTGTGTGCCCAATGGAGTGATAAATAGATTAATACAATATATTGATTCTATAACGATTTGTGTATTACTTATTCTCTGGAATAGACCCTCTGACCTTCGTAAAAATGATCTAAGTAAATACTCTAAGCATGCCATAACTTACTGCTATATTATGCATCACATATTGTATCAAGTTGGTATTTTTAGCAGTTTAGGAACAGCGGTCAATATTTCACAAATTGGGTTGAGGCTTGGTAAATTTGGTACCTAAATGTACAAACGTAATTTCCACGAAGTTTGCGAGATACTTTTGAAGAAACTTAGTCATATATTTTAATATCGTATTCTTCAGCAGCATATTATTTGCAGTATTTCAATCTAGAAAAGTTAAATTTCAGACAGGTAGTTCATTAGTCATAGTTAAAAGCATTATAAATGTTTTTGGATCAGCGGAGTAGACTGGTACAAAATAAGAACGATAACAAATAGTAAAAAAATCATTTTTGCAGATATATTGTTTTAAAATTATATGAAATTATGTAAAAAATATTCAAAAAGTTGACATTTTTCGAAATAATTGGTGTCTGCTTAAATACATTACATTTTTATATATATATACCATATACGTATATATTTTGATACAATTAATAATATGTCATGAAAAATGTACTACCCTCTAAATACCTAGGCACAAAAATTGCCACCTCGCACAACAAATTAGACTTGTCCGCCTCTAAATGGCGGATCGATACTATGTTAATTCTTATTATTCAACAATTCTATATTGTACTAATTATAACTATATCATGACTTATTTAGGTGTTCCAAACTTGGGAATACTCAAAATGGATCCGCTGCGAATCTCTTCACTGCTGATAGACCAAGGCAAGGGGCCAGTTAGCATTAAACTGGACTTTAAAAATTTGGATATCATTAACTTGAAATCCATTATCATTGATAAAATGCAGTAAGTACCTATATATATAACAAAAGAATGTGTTTTTAAAATTGTATGTATATTTATCTATTGCAGTTATAGTCCAGAATCGTATAGTTTGAGTGCTGAGTTACATCCCGAAAAATCTATAATTTTGGACGGCGATTATGAAATATCTGGAAAAGTATTAATTCTTCCAATTGTTGGAAAGGGAAGATGTAAAATTGTCTTAGGTAATAAAATTATAATTAACAATATTGATCATATTTCATTTAGTATTTATATGAGTGTATTTTTTTTTGTAGATGTTTCGAAACTTGTTGGCACTGTTCAAATGAAACCAGTGATGAAGAACGGAAACAAACATTTAGAAATTGTAAACATAGCATGGAAATTCACACCTACAAAATTGAACCTCAAATTTGAAAATTTGTTCAACGGAGATAAAGCCTTAGGTAATTTATGAGTTGCATTAATTATAACTAGTGCAAGATCTGCCGGTTGTTACGATTTATTTAAGGTGTTTTGTCCTATTACTGCATTAAACAATTTATAGTAAATAATTCAAAGTCTGAATTTCAAACAATAAACAGTAATATGTGGATGATATTAATGTATAAAGAGTAATTTTATGACACACAACACTAAAATTTTTAAAATAAGAGCCAAGAGGTACGTACAATTAAGGGACATAGTCACTCTACATTGCTGTTTGAAATGCTTACGAAGTGAAAAACAATAAACTGCAGATAGTTCAGTAATTGATATTTGTAGATTATCTTTTTCTTTAAAATATTCCGACTAGGTATAAAAATGCAGTTTGTGATGTTAAAAAATATTACATTTTTAAAAATTTTGATAATTTTTGAAGTGCAAATTATATAAAATAGAAATATTTATATCTATATTAATACCTAGTTTCATATATAGTTATTCGATTCTGGATGTATTGATGTTACAATGATGTGTGTCTTTTGTAAATTCTTATCACTTTTTGAGAAACTAACAATTATCAATTTTAGTTTTGATAGGAAAGAGTATGAAGTTGGTACTTTGGGGTCAAAAGTAAAAATTGTTTGTGAAATATTTTAAATTTGGAAGGTAATATAGTAATGAGCGTAGTATCCAGTATCTATATTAAAAAACGTTGAACTTCGAAAATTTCTTCTGTTATTGCCATGTATCAGGATAAATCCTTTACTGTTATCTAGATTTTTGTATGTTTGTTTGTAAAATATCATCATTTTTTTGTTATGTATTTAAAAAATAGTAATCTAATTATATAATACTTATGTAAACTGTATATCATAGATGTTGATAAGTAACTAATACGAATCTTATATTGTCATGAATTAAATGTTTTATAATATTAATTATGATTTTAAAACTAAATATTTAATTGTATTACTTTATTTATTGCAGGAGATAACATGAACGTATTCCTTAACGAGAATTGGCGTGAACTTATAATTGAACTGCAACCGGCTATTGAAGATGTTTTTGGCACTGCCTTCAAAGAAATTGGTCAAAACTTCTTAAACCGTGTTCCCGAAAATCAAGTACTCCTAGATTAAATTTAGATATAGCTTGTACGTTGTATATCATTCATTAAGGTAAATATGTTTGATTGTTTGCAATTAATGACGATGGTATAGAACATTTTATAGATATTTAAAATTTTTTTTTTATTTATATGTATGCCTCAGATGCTAAAGTTATTGGCATTTCTGAAATATATTACATTTTGTATATATTATTTCGGTAAATCTGGTACTTATTTATTGTATAATTTATCATCAATATACAACAAGATATTGATTGATAGAATAGTACATTCAAACAAATATTAAAATGTACACGTTTTTAGATATTATGTAGTTATATATTGTAATGTTACCACTGCACGTATTAATTTATATTTAATTATTTACAATAAAGTTGTATAAAAGAATATGCTATTGTTTGGAGTTTTATTTTATGCCAATTCGTCCATTATTTTGATTGATAATTTATATAATCAATTTATTTCTAATAAAAAGGTGCAATAACTAATATATTTTATGGACTTGTAGCTGTCATATAACTACTATTGAAATTTAAATATTTAGTTACAAAAATTTCATATTAACAATTTTTTTTGGCAGTTTTTTTCCTCAAAAATCATTAAGTAGTTATGTATTTATGTATATATAGAAACAAACAATTCTACTTATAAGTTATAACTAATAACTACTAAGGTAAACATAAATAACAGGAAAATATATAAGGATATAGGTTATGATTATTGATTACATACTAGTCTGTGAAAACGTCAGATTATATTTTTTCTTTTTATTTAATTTGTATACCTAATTAGACATTTTAGTCACGTTACCATTTACGATTTGTAATGAGGATTCCAGGGATTTTTTAGGGACTAGTAGGTTTGTAACTAATGGATTTTGTAGAAAAATCAGTCGTCAGTTGCATGAAATGCTTTATAAAATAAACATTAGATTTCTTCATGAATAGTATAGTTTTTCATTTGAAATATAAATGATTCGAGTAATGTATGGAAGGTCATTAGTTAATTTTCTAAGCTCATTGTTCTTGTGAGTTTGGATATTATTGAATTTGTACAGCATCGATTGAAGGATAATCAAAATTTTAGCTCCCTCAAAGAATTTAAAGTAGAGTGTTACTTTGAAAAAAAATTAAAGCACGTAAGCTAGTGAAAAAGAAAATTAATTTTGTTCAATAAAACTAAAGTTTCTAAAATAATCAATCTAAAAATATCCATTCTGGATGGATTACTGCTTATAGATTATTATCTTATTTTTGATAATAGAAAATGCTATTAAATGTTTATTTATTTATATTATTAAAATATTTTTATTTTTGTTTTAATATTATATTTAAATGTATTATGTCTTTTAAAAAATATTTATATCAAATTGCCTACATATTTTCATAAAAAAATCAGAATACTCGTATAATACATTGGCTTGTGGAGTTTTATCAGGCAATAGAAATTCAAAAGATAAAAACAAATGTCGGTACTGTATGTATTATAACTATTGAGTAGGTATACACGGCGCATACTCGTATGGTAGGTGCGTTTGAAATAATTAATGACATGTATCATATTATTTATTATTTATTATCATGTTAAATTGTACTTAAATCTTGTTAGACTTGTTTTTTGACTAATATTTTTGTGACATTCATATTCGATAAACAGAATTACAGTAGGGATTGAAGGCTATCTATGTCAGCCGTTAGGGTTATAGAGGTGAATGGAATTATTACGTTTTTCTCGAATCGTATAGCTAATGTCTTTCCGTTAAAACGACATAAGAGTATATAAGTGGATTCCCAAAGAGCAACAGGATTCAGTTTCACTAAGTCAATCTAGTAATCTTGCACATCAAAATCATACAATATGAGTAATATCACTGCTTTTATCGTAAAGTTTGTTTGTTGTCTTGTGTACATTTTTGTCGAGACCAGCCACGCTGCACCTTCCACAAAACTGCGTAAGTGAAAAATGTACAATAAATAATATTATAAATAGGATTTCAGTAACTCCAGTGCTTAATGTTTTGATTTTAACACTTCTAAAAACGTGATTACTGGTATCGAGCAGTTCTAATATTAAAATCGTGTCCCACGTAAGCGATAAATATTTTTATTATAATTTTAGTAAATATTAGGTTGAAATTTTAATGTTTGAATTTCTAAGTTCTAACTTATAATTTATGACAGTCTTATTGAATATTTATTATTTTATAACTCTGATTTGTTATTAAATGTTAAATGTTAAAATTATTTTATTTTAAAGTACAAACTCACACATTTGTGTAAAGTTTTCTTCTTAACTTAGTGTAGTTAAAGTATTAGGATTGCGTTTATTGTAAGATGCCGGGCAATATGATTATTAACTTATAAGTCATTCATATTCAAATACTTAAATAACTCTTTTTATAATATTAGTTCTGAATAAAAAAAACAAGGATTACATTTCTTAGGAAAAACTGTTAAATGTATTTTGTATAATGTATTTTCATATGTTAATAATATGTCTGTTCAAACCATGTTAGTCGTAGAAAATATTGGAAAAAATTAAAAGTTTATATCTAGTTATACAATTATATTATATTAACAATTTGGCAGTGTCAACTTCCTTTTTTATTTAATAATACATCTATTAAAATTTCGATTTTTGAAATTTTAAAATACATCTAAAGACCATATTTTTAAATTCTTGAGATTTGTTGTACCATTTAAGGAGGGAGTGTCCTGTGGCAATTCAAACTTCTAATTTTCAAATGAGAACCCCCATTTTATACTAAAAAGTAAAAACTATCTATGTATGGTGCTTTAATTTAAAAAATGGTTTGTGTATCTATAGAACACACCTTAAGTAGTATAAAAATTCAAAAGTTTAAAAAAACGGAACGATCCTTGAGTATATTTAAAGAAATCCAAAAATCATATTTTGAGTAACTGAATTATAGAAGAAAGTAGTTTATGAGTATGTTTACTAAATCTCATTGTATATACGGCTGGTAAATCAAAACCTTGCCAATCTTTGACTTGGGCAGTATAATACAATTCATGATATGCATAGAAAGAAAAAAAAATAAAACTTTTTAATAGGTAGTATTAATTCATACCTTGATATTGGATTCTTTAAAAGATTAGAAGGTCACTTTTTTTGTACAAAAAAGGCTGTTATGTATTTGTTTGCATTCTTTAACAGTGTGGTATAACAACGACTATTTTACAATTATTGTATGTTAAAAGTTAGAATTTGTTTAAATTCAAGGAATTTGCAGTCATTGTAGATTTGTGTTAATCAAAAAAAAAATTAAATAATGTGCAGTGTAAAACCCCGGAACATTTTAACTCAAAAATATTTAATAAGATGCACTTTTATTCAATGTATAAGGAAGTCTAAAACTTATTTTTTGGTCCTTGATGCCATAGCACAAGTACCCATGGGTAATCTGGCTTTGACACAGTCTACCGGAAAACCATTTATTACTATTAGAGTGATGTCTTTGGACCGGTTCGAGCAGTAATCGTACAATGTCCATGTGAATAAAAAAAAAATATATATATATTAATTTGTTTTATTATGGAATAAGTAACTTCCATGCTTGAGTGGCCTTCACATTATAACATCATTGCGATTAATACACTGATATATTTATATAAAACAGTTTATAAACACTTATTCCCAAGTTTATTCCATGTATTTAAATTATTAAAACAACATTCAATGACTTACATGGTCACTACTTATGGCTACTAAGTACTATACCAGTACAAAAGCAAATTTATTTGAATACTAAAATATTGTATAAGCGATTGTTCATGGATTTATACTAAATAGACTAACACACTCAACACATAACTATCGACACCTAGGTAGTTGCTAAACTTAATATACTTGGAAATATGCACTATATTTTATTTGTTAAAAATAAGAAATAAATACTTGGGCGATAAACTAAAACTACCTATATAGTTTATAATATCTATGTTTATATTATTATATAGTAAATAATAGTATACAATTAGGTATATATCTTTATTAAAGTTATTTTTACACTAACACAATAACATAAAACATTGAGATAATCATATGGACTAAACCGAAATATTCATACTATTGCTATTTTTTATTTTTTCATAATCAGTATTATCATGCTATTGTTATTTAATTTTTGTTAATTTTGTTTTTAGCAAAAGGTTTCGTGCAATGCAAATTAAGTGATCCAGCTTTAAACGAATGTATCAGAGATGGGCTTCAACGGGCCACTCCTTATTTGGCAAAAGGTAAAAACAATACTAAACAATTAAACTAATATTTCATATCAAATAATATTATGTATATTTTAAGGTATTCCGAGTCTTGGATTACTCCCATCAGATCCATTGAGAGTCAATTCATTAGGAATAGATCAGGGTATAGGGGCTGTGAATCTGAAGTTTAAGGATCTAGATATTTTAAACATGAAATCGACGATTGTCAAGGACTTGACGTAAATAATGTTGTTAGGAAATGTTTTTGACAAATTAAATATTGATAAATGATTACAGATATGATACAAAGAACTATACTTTGAATATCGCTCTAGTCGTTCAAAAACCAATTGTGTTGGAAGGTCAATATGAAACAAATGGTAGAGTAATAATTTTGCCCATTAATGGGAATGGAACATGTAGATTTTCTTTAGGTAATTTAAAAATGTTGAGAACAATTTGGTGTATTATGGTTGTACAAATTCCACAAGTAAAATATGACTAATAACACTGTTTTTATTTTTAGACAATTACAAATCTTTTAGTGTTGTTAAAATGAAGCCAGTACTTAAAAATGGCAATACACATTTAGAAATCAAAAGTTTAGATTGGAAGTTTACCACTTCGAAAATGCATTTAAAAATGAATAATTTATTTAATGGAGACAAACTTTTAGGTGAGTATAATAATAATTATAAATAATTACCTACCTATGTTAATGTGTTTTCGTAATTGTTTTTTATATACTATCTATAAATAGGCATAGTTAATATTTTTAATATTTTCCATTAATTTTGACTCCAATATAATTTTCTATTATTTAATTAAATTAATGAGACCCGTACCCCTCTAAAAATAAAATATTCTGGGAAATTACATAATGCATTATTTTTTTTTTTTTTTTATTGAACTTAAGCCCGGCAACTAAGGCCATTAGCTGTTGTAGGGGTTATGAACTGTGGTAGGGGTAAAGTTGGTACCGTAGGTTGTTTTTACGATTGTTAGGGTTGTTACGGTAGGTAGCAAACACGTGTATGTGTGGCAAGGTTTTTAACTACTATGAACCCGGGTGGTCACCCATCCGGGAGCTAGAAGCTGTGGCCGTTACTTACTCCCAGTCGCATTCCGCGACTGGTAGCAGCCAACGCGCCACGCCAAGCCACACATATATATAATACATTAGTATTATATCCAATGTATTAATTTATGCATTTAATATTTAAACTAGATACCTAGATCTGTGTGTCTCAAGATTTTAAAAAGAATAATGCAATATTTAGTTATAAAAAGAAGTATTTACTACATTTTTTATGTTTCCGTAGAACAGTGAATATGTTGAAGTTTAAATATTTAAATACCTATTAATAAATATGTTGGTTACCATATAAAGTAAATATACTATTAATGGAAATAGAACCTATTAGTTTTCAAATACCTAATTTGACTGTGAATTAAATAATTATGTAGGGATATAAAAGGTATCTATGGAATTTTTATTTTAACCAACAAATAATGCTAAACACTTCAAACGACGTAAAACACTAAGCATTTAAATTTACTTAACTTATTAGTTTTTCATAGATTACCTTTAAAACAAAGTACGAAACCTTTTAAACCTAAAATTGTTAGTAGTTTAACAAGTAGTTTCGAATCCCAAAATAAATTCCACATCATATCGTATAACATTTTAACATGTATTCATTTATGCCAATTATTATGATGTAGGTGACAACATGAACGTATTTTTAAATGAGAATTGGATGGAACTGTTAAAAGAAATGCAGCCAGCTTTTGAAAAGGCTTTGAGTGTTGCTTTTATTTCAATCGCACAAGAGTTCTTTAACAGGATACCATTAAATCAAATTTTTATTGATTAAATATTTAAACACTAATTATGTTATATTATATTACTCATATTATTGTAAAGTAAATTAATTTTAAGTAATTGTTATATCTTAAACTGCAATATTCTTAATTTAAAAATAACTTATGGAATTACTATGTTATTTAATTTAATATAATGATAAGTATAAATGTATAAGTGTTGAAATAATAGCCAGCGTATCTCAATAAGTAATAACATTAATCTTAGTTTTGTATTTATTGTACATAAATATTTATATATAGAATCAACTAGTAATTTTTAACTATGTAAAAAATGTCCGTTAATGAGACTATATAAATATATTCATATTCAATAATTCAGTGTTTATTTTTTTGCAGTAAAAGTTAAAATTCAAGATCTTTTAAAATCAGCCCATACCACAGATATTTAAACTAATTAATTACCTTTATAAAAGTAAATATATTTTTTTTCAATAAATATACAAACAATCCAATATAAAACTCTTATTGAATCATATTAGACATATTAAAGGTACACATTATATATATAGGCGCACATTCAGCCACAAGCTTGGGAGTGGTAAAATATTTTTTCCCAAAGTGACCCGTTAGGGGTATTGTTCTCTTGCCCACTATATGGCTATACGATTATACACACCAGGCATAGATTAATTTCATTTTAAATACAATTGTAAATTACTAAGTTATAAAAACTCAAAGTAGTGAACTTGATTTTCAATAAAGAATCTTTTTTTGACCTATATGTTTTACCAATTATTACAACGACTATTACATTCTTCGATGAACAAGGGATGCAATCCATGGTCATCCACACTTTCACTACTTTCATCGTTTTTGTTTTATTAAATTTAAATATACATATTTAAATAGGAAATACATGTCCATGGCATTAGTGCATCGCCAATATAAACTGGAATAAACTCATTTTTATAAACTCAAAACTACACTTCAAACAATATTTTTGACCCCAAATAATCTAGAGGTGCTCATTAAGGACTTGGGGGTGCTAAGCACCCCCGGATGTGCGCCAATGATCATACATATTATATTATACAGATTAAATTTTAATTAAACAATGTGTAAAGAAACGTAATGCAATGTAAACAATGTAAAACCGGCTAATAACTACGCAATCGATGCCTTAAAAAAAAAGATTACATATTATCCGAAATATAAACAAACTGAATAGCTGTCATAACTAGCATTGTACAGAACATAATTTCACACTGACAATTAACATTATGCGAACCATTATACAATATGAATTGGTGGTGGACACACTTACGTATGCTACACCACGACGGTCGTGCAGTCTAGTGTTCACCTTACCACAACGAACAACGTGACTACCAAATGAGTAATAATGACCATCACACTATGTCACGGAAACACCTTGACAGTCGTCTGTGCATTTTTTTTCACAATTATTTTAGTTTGATAAAATTATATTTTATAATCGTGTATAAATATTCAATTATGATACGTTTATTGATTAAAAATCGCAAGTAAAGTTCGGTGAAGCGAATTCAAAGTTTCATTTATGCCTGGATCGGTGATGATACGATCGTCTGTACATTTTACCTACACCTTTAATAATAATTGCCATACAAAGTTGCGACGCGACGGTTACATTTATCATTTGAATACAATCTGAGTCTCTGACTATTCCGATTTTACGTAAATACTTACCTGACTTCGATGGTTTATCACCTGATAATAAAGTTAATTTTACATTGTAAGTATATGTATGATACTATATAATTATAGGTAACTTGGTACGTGAATAAAGTAACTACTATGTATGCACTTTATATATACAGTGTATATATGTATGTATATATATATTTGATTTGCTGTATTTTATTTCTATAATATAACAGAAAAGTACTATCATGTTCATAATTGTTTATTATTTTAATTTCAATGTAATATTGTGTAATTATTTGATTATTTACTATTTACTATTTATTTATATTTTAAAAGTATGTACCCTTATTGTAATGTGTGCCTTACATTTAATGAATCTGTTAATTGTATAGTATTTATACATGCAGACTACAGAGTTACTTTATAAACATATGAATGACCCGCATTTTGATTTCAAATCAACTCTTTACAGCATAACTGGATTTTAAATCAATAGATAGGTCCATAACAAATTGTTAATATGTAAGGTTTTTATTTTAATGCTTAACGGGGACTCAGATAAAAAAAAACACATTTTTCTTAAAATCTCCAATCAATAGTATTTTTTTATTTTCGTTAAATTAGTAAAAAAAAATTATAAATAAATAAATATATCTTCTGTGACGATATTGTTACATATAACTTTATTAAAAAATGTGTATGTTTGTCGCTATACTTATGACTCTACTTTATTGCACATTATTTTGTTTTTAAATTGTTTATTGATCACATAACGATTAAAGATTTATCACACGTAATATTATTATACATAGTTTGTTGGACGTTTTGTGCTTGTCGTTTGATAAAAAAACACCAGAACAACGTTAGAAGAACCATTAACAAAAATGATACAATTACGATATGAGTTTGTGCATTGAGTTAAATATCAATCTATGCTCAATAAAATATTATTGTTAACGTCAATATTATATTATACAAACACGTTTATACATACCTATAGTTTTGGAATAACAGTAATTAGAAATCACATAAACTACGTACTTATATGGTATAAATTATACTAATTGAAAATAATTTGTCTGTTGTTTTTTCCTGTGATCAATCAAGTTTTTGAGTGCAATTGAAATCTTTAGTAGAATAACATTGATTTGAATAGTAATTAATTAATCATGATTTAATGTTCAATTAAAAAGTATATGACTTTTAAAAAAATACGCGATACTCGACTTAAAATAATGCTGTTCGACATTAATTTACTTTGAAAAGTTGTATAGGTAATCACATATGTGCTTATTGCTCTACATAAAGGAATAAACATCGAATAAATTAATAGTACTCGTGTATATCGATTGACATAAAAAAAAAAATAAACAAAGGGTTTTCTAAAAAACAAGAAAAAATTGATTATACAAATGAGAGTGCATATGAATTTAACTAATTAATAAACACTTGTCTGGTTTAACAAATAATATAAATGAAGAGGAAATTGGACCAATGCAGTATTCGATTTATTTTAATTACATTTATAGTATAAATTAAGCGATGTAACTCAGCGATGCACTGAAAATCACTTATTAATCATGAGTTTTGTATTCCATACATGTTTTTGAACAAAAATAAAAGAAAGATGGAAATTAACTTGATTACTAGAGATTACAGTATATGAACTGTAATAACATATATTAGCATAAAGACAGGTAATAGGTTTATTATACATAATGGTATGCAGTGCCGCAGATGTATAATATAATAAACAGAGAACTCTGAGTTTATCATACATATTATTCAAAAAAATAATATATTATAACGTATACCTAACACAATTATCTCTAATTGCAATGCTTAAGAAAAACATGTATTTTAAAAACAAACTGTACTGTATACCATTTATTTAACACTGTTATTAAAATATGCATATACGTGTTGTGCCGCAAGTATGACAATATTATAGTAAAAATCAATTTTTATAACAGAAGCCCTTCGCATCTCATAAAATGACTGGGCCAAGACAAACACAAACAAGTTTTAGCAAGCGTATACATCATAGTGTATATAATATTATCGCGGCAGTATGAGGCGTGGCTCACGGAGTTTCAATAAAATCGAACATTTCAAGAATCGACGTTGCCGTGAGTGACCTAAGGTATGCAACACAAAATAATAATGGTCTAAATATATTACGTCTGATTCGGTACAGAAAGTCGATTTCATAAGGTTTGCGCCGTCTCCAAAAGAGGCCGTTAGAGTGTACGAAAACCTGCGCATCAATCATACTGCAGACCTCACGAAAGACGCTTCTCGTGTCTCGTAATATATTCATTTCGATTTCGAATATTGTTCCATAGTGTTGTTGTACTCTTGATGCGTATTATTGTTATTATACAATTGACACGTTAAATTGTTAACGTATTAGAAAAATACTTTGCGTGAGTTACCCTTTACACCTAGGGGTATGAAAAATAGTGTACATCATTCTTTGAGACCTCCCTAATATACACCCAACATTTCATGAAAATAGGTCCAGCCGTTTCGGAGGAGTTTGGTAACAAACATTTTTCATTGTGACACGAGATTTTTATACATTAGATAAGGAATGCTATCGTGTCTCCAGTTATAGTTTCACGAATATTTTTTTTTAGTTTTAAATAACATCTCAACATTGTATAATTTTCGAAAACAATATTGAATGTTATATTATATAAAGCAGTTAATAACTTAATAATATGATTTAATACAATATATAATTTTATAATATAAACATGCTTATTGGTATTTTTTTAAAGTGTATACTACTTTTGTGTCTGAAAAAACTGTATAAACGTGGTTAAAATGCGATTTGTAAAATACATTTGTATATTCTAGCTTATACAAGAACAACGAGAAACCCGATATACTGCAAACATCGCGAAACGTACAATATCGGACTCGTGTAACTAGTTTAGTGACTGGTGACTATCCTATAATTGATATTAGAATATTGTATCGGCATTTGCAATCAATGTTTGTAAGTAGCATGTTATTACATGACACTTAGGTAGTTGTACTAAAACAAGGATTGTCGTGTGCTGTCTATAAGTGTCTAGTGTACTGCAATAAAGTGTTTACACGGAAATGTTATCATAACCCGCTTTACAACCACTCGTAGCTACCACTAAGGAAAACGTTATAATGTGTTAATCACGATGTAGAAACAATATGAGTTAATATATCGGCCAATGGATGTTTAAAAAATCGTATGAAAGCACATCGCAGGAACCTTAGTAGGTACTTAAAAAATAATTTTGAGTACCCACTAACCCTAGTGTGATATTTGCGGAGCACGAGCAGAACATTAGAAAACTCAGCGTGTGCCACTATGACGTTTAAGTCTTCTGCTGTGCGTCAGGACGTTTTTGACCTGCGGGGCAATAGGGAACCGTCCACATGTGACTTTTGAGGAGAACAGCATTCGGGCGGCTGTAACTCAATGATACATACATACATATTATTATTATTATTATTATTAACGATCGTGAGAGCTAAGTAATTGCATTCTTTTCGCGTTCGATTGTTTCTTGAAAGTAATCAGTGGATTCTATGTCAAACCGCGAGTCACGGGGAACAGATTAAAAGTAATGCGTGTTGATTATCAGTGACTATACTATTGACACACCACCATAAGTAAATACGTCAATATTCAATAATATTGTCATGTATTTTCGAAAGCGATGAATTCCAGAGATTATAACAGCACTAAATATAATTAACCTGCTATCATCAAATGTTATACTATTTTGTTTATTTATGAATTAATGCTTATCGTTCATTTGTTTTTCTAGTTTAAACGTTTGTTGTTGACGATTATCAGTGTAGGTACTGTGACTATATTATAACGATTTATCAGCTCCAAACATTTAACAAATACGTTTAAATCGTATAATATGGCCTGGAAAGTATACATTATAATACGCAGGACATAATTTAATCAAGCAACTAGTAAGTCAACTCTTGTACCATTTCTACTGTAGGAGGTATACGGGGTGTTGTGAAAAGGAATATTATTCATACTCAAATGTACAATGCTATTTAGTATATTTTATTTCATTTTCATATTGTTTGATTCCTTCCAAACCAATATTTATATTAAATTATAAACAAAAATGCACATTAATTACTTATATAAATTGAGATTATAAAATTATGAGTGGGTATAATATTATGTTATATAATTTGAATGATGTACGATAGTTTTTAATGTGGAAATGTACAAAACGCGACGGTAGTCTCGATATTGTATGTACGAGTGGTGGGAGAGGGGGTGACGGGGAGGTAGATGTTTTGGGAAGTTTTTTTGTTGGGGCATGGGGATGGGGAAATATTGACCACGATGGGTCAAAGCTCGGTGACGTGCAACCCAGGTGGCGGCGGCAGTAGCCAGTAGACGCCACCGTAGCCGCCACCCGCAGCCGGTGACGCGGCGGCGGCGGTCGCCACATCCGCCACGTCAGCCTCGTCCGTCTGCGTACAGCTGTGCCGCTTGCTCCGGCGCGGTTCGGGAGGTGGCTTGGGCAACATGACCGCCTCGTCGTACGACGGTAACTGCGACATCTTGCGCGCCGATTCGGCCGCAGCTGCGTACTCGTCAAAGTATTCGTCGGGGCCCGCCGTCCCCAGGCCCCCTCCCGACCGGTCTGGGTTGCCGTACTCGTCCAGCTGCCGCCGCCTGCGCATCATCTGTCGGGTTTTCATGTTCTCGTGGACGGCCACGAATATGGCCATCAGCCCGGACACGCAGAGTATGAGTATGACGCCGATGGCCATCGAGAAGTTCTTCCGGTTGTCCCGGGCATACGCGGGGCTGTTGACGCACGCCACGTGCCACAGCATTCCGGTAACGTTGTCCGGGCTCAGACAGCTGGGCGCCCTGAAAAACGCACACAACTGTCAAAATAATATTAGTATTTATCGGGTGACCGATATCGTTCGGTTCTGTCGTGTTTCCTTTAGGTGTTATGGCGTAGTATTTTTCGACCGTAAATACCAAGTACCAGGGTATCTGCATATCCCTGGCACATAATGGTGGTTGGTAAGACCAGCAATGAACCACTGGTCCACAAGAACCTTCAGACTATAACCCTGAACATGAACGCATGCTTCAGACTTAAAAACTGAATTGCATGTGACAAGTTTGCGACGCGTTGGTGCCTGTTCTGGCACGCACCTTCTTCGATTGTCCTCATTAAGCCGCATATCCAGATTCTGGATATGTGGTCAAGCCATTTACAGGTGACTGAAACCCCAGACCAAGTGGCATCGGATATCTTAGGTGTGGCCATCGTGATGACCATCCTGACCTTGAGAACACCCTAGAGATCCATCAAGCCGAGTCATTCAGGACGTAATTTGTGGTAAGCAGTTTTATTAGAAAATGGGTGCAGAACACCGGAGGTAGACCTAACTTTTGCCACAAAAGACAAGCTAAAAGGATGCGGGAAGCAGAGCCGTGAGCCAATTGTCATTCACGATAAGCTCAGTAACCCTGAAGGGCCCTGGAAAAAATGTTCTCTTCGAAAATAATGATTACTGTATTGGAAGCCAGCCAGGTGGGTGCCCCATAAATCATTTTTTTTAATTCTCTTGGTATTTACAAAAGAAAAATACTATACCTATAACAAAACATCTCTCAAAAATACTTTACTTTGAGGATAATTGTTTTCCCAATATTTTTCGAATTATCAGTTATTAAGAAAATTATAAATCAAAGGTGGCCAAACAGTGGCCTGCGTCTTAACATTTTTACATTTTATTAATAAAATACAAAATATTATTCATTTCCTGCTATTATTATTTTTCATTATATTGTGCGGCTCACGACTCTCTTATCGTTGGCCACCCCTGTTATAATTCTACTTTCTTAATCTTTATTGATTTCCCATTTTTACGTGCTGATTTCATTCAAATCAGATGAATATTTTTATTTGTTGTTATGGCGAGGTTCAATTTATTTCCTTCTTTTTTAAAGCATTATGAGATATTAGTTTCCTTGTTCATTAAATTCAATAAATAACTTCTTATTCATTTTATTTTCCTTGCTATAAATTTACAATAAATGAATAAAAAATACATTAAATTATTTAAATATTATTAAATTTTGAAATTTAGTATTTATTATTAAAATAATATTAATGAATTCCAAATTAGTTTCATTAGTTTAACATTCAATATTTATGTACTTATAGATTTATTATCATGCTAAATATAAGCTATAAAAATGAAAATATCGGCTTATGGTTAAAAATACGAGTTTTCGAGATATTTTTGATTGTTTAATTTAAAAATATATAAAAAAAATATTATATAAAAAATAATATTTAGTTGAATAGGAAATCAATAATATTCAGTGTATGGTTAGTATGGTGGTTGTTATTGCGTATTTTATAAATTTTAAGTATTTTGGTATATTTACGTATTTTATTGCTAATTTAATAAAAACATTTTATATTTTACAGTGTATATTGCTTTGATTAATTTTGTTAGCTTGAGTAGTTCAAAAACATCCTATTCAGGATGCGATGCATTTACCCGCAAAAGTACATTACAGAATAGTGATTGTGACAATTTTCAGTTGAATGGAATGTGATAGATACAAAGTACCGTGTTGGATAAGGAAACTCAGAAAGCAGAAACTGAAAGCGTTATAAATATATAACGCTTCAACCAAAGACGATCGGCCAATAACTAGATTTGATTGGTGTCAAATCGATATTGCTAGAGATAAAATGCCCGGCTTACAAAAAGTAATTTTCAAAGACAATAACTATGATTTGGGACTTTTGAAATTCCATATATTATACATAATTTAACTTATGAGTAATAATAATAAACAGGTAAGCATAATTTATAGATACCTAACTACTGTTGTAATGTTATCATTATTATTTTATTGCAATCAATACTAGTAGAATTTTGAGTGTTTCGGCATTGGTCTAATGGATGACTTATAATATTTCAGCTAGTTTCAAATAGCGGGTTATCGCAAGCATAAAATGATTTAGTGAATATTTTAATAACGAGTATTTGTAGATATGAGTACAGCAAAATATTTATTTTGCATAGTAAAAGTTAGATATGTTACAATAAAATAAATAAAATGTTACCTCAGTAAAGTTGTCTAAACATTATAATAATATCTTATAACTTATATCTTATAACTTATAAGTTATAATACTAATGATTTGTATGTTCACGTATCATTTAATTATTGATTTTTTATAATTCCCACCTAGTCGATTTTAAAGAAGTAATCACTAGTTTGTGTGTTGCATGATATGATGTGTCATAAATTAACCGATTTTTGGATAGCTTACATCTTTAATCTGTTAATTAAGTTTTTATGAATATTATAGTCATTATGTTATTATTTTATTGTAAATTAATATAGTTTTTTTTTAAATTTAACATTTAATTTTTCTTCTTTTAAATATTTTGCCTATAAGTATTTACTATGTGATAAACATGTAGAGTAAAAATAAATAGTATCTTTTAGTCCAACCAAGAAAACTGGATACTCCTTACGAGTCTTTCAAATATCAATCGTCCACAATTATTAAAAGTGCATTATTTTTACATATTACGTAATATTTGGAATTTTTGAACTGATCGTATTTTTGAATGCACAAAAACTATAAGTCTAAAAAAATGTGATATAGATATATTAGCATTTGTACTTATTTCAAGCGGATAAATGTAACATGTCCGGACGTATTATATTTGGCAAAACTGATAAATACAATTTAGTAATTGTTTTTATATTTAATAAATATGTCTATAAAATACTTGCAGTATATCCGTAGAAAAATATAATAACTGTTGCCATTTATTATAAGTTCATTCTAAAAACACTCAAAAATTAATTTTCTAAAAAGATGTAGAGTTCAGTCGAGTTAAGCTAGCAAATTGATGTTTTACAGTAAATTATACACCATATCAAGTTCACACATAAGTAAAAAAAACTATAGGTATTATATTAGATTTAAATCATGAAACTTTCTAATTTCAAACCCAATACCAGTTCTTGGTGTATTATATTAAATACTTCAAAAAAAAAAGCTGGTATTGTGTTGGAGTTTACATTGGACTCTACAATTTATTGTTTGTTACTATTGATAATATTTATTAATCAATTTATACCTGTTTCTTTTTTTCAGCAGACAATGTGTTAAGCAGTACTTCTTACTATAAGAGTATGAAGTTTTTATCAAGTTTTAGTATATATATTATAGAACCATTGCAGGCAAATTACTTGAAAACAGCTCATACCTTTCAACTGGAGAATGCTTGGTAGTTCTATTGGCGAGTACGGCCATGTACGCGAAATCCACACTGTAACAGTCACACATCCACGGGTTGTCGTCCAAATAGACGTACTTCAGCTTAGTGCATTTATTGAACGTGCCGTTTTTCAACGTCACTAAACGGTTCCCGGTTAATCTTATTTCAGTGAGATTGGGCGAGTTGACAAACTCGTACGATATCAGGTGCGATATCCGACAATAGCTGAGATCCAAAAACCACATGTGCGATGAGTTGAAACTACCCGGTAGTAACATTTGCAACGGGTTGTTGGATAAGATGAGCTCCCCAAATCTCTCTAGTTGAACGAATGCCCCGTTCGGAATCGAATGGATCCAACAGTGATCGAGGTTCAGTCGGCGGAGAGTGTTCGATTTCAGCCGTCCAATTTGAGAGATGAAGTTGAACGAAAGGTTCAGCGATTCCAGTGATGGTAGTGTAGCCATGACAGATTCCCATGAGATTTCTATGATGAAATTTATAGACAAGTCCAAAAACAGTAGCGATGACATGCCGTAAAATGCTAACGGGTCCACCTGAATCATAAAAGGAATACACATTTTATTGATACTACTTTATCGTACTTCGTGTACCTACATAGGTACAACGTCATTCGATATTATGCTACTGTCATCATTATAAGCAGTTGTTTTCCAGTCGTTTGATTTTGATTTACAACGATTCGGGGACCACCTTTCATAAATACATTTATTTGATACCTTGGTGAAAATGGATACCCCGCATTCTTTCATTAAGAGTTGATATTGTTCGAGTTCATTGATCCTATCGATCAAGGTGACATTTTAAATTTCGGACCGTAAACAACAACTATATGTATATATATATATAATATAGAAACGAATTTATTCTTACTTCATGAAACGAGACATCGCTATAAATCAGTAATTCGAGAAATTTAAAAGTTATTCAACTGAATATTTGTTTTAATTTACCTGACATGGCATGTTTTTAAAAAATAAAAATATTCGTATATTACAGCACCTAGGTTATACAGGGTGTTTCTGAAGTGTGTGAGATAATTAGTAGGTATACGCATATTCACTGTGATGCCACAATGAAGATTTTTTTGGAATTTTTTTTCTAACTTCAAAATCTGGGTTTTTTTAAAGTTATTTTTAGAATATTATCTTGAATATAAAAGTAAACACTCTAGTCGTATTTTTTGCAATATTCTCATACGAATCGAGATATCGCATCATTTTTGCGCTTGTCACGCGTTGTTCGCTCACGAATCGCCTACTAAAAAAAAAGTCGTGCGACACATCGATTTGTATGAGAATACTGCAAGATAACCAATGGTGATAATTATTTGTTGTCATTGATAATACACGATTAATTAACACATTGTTTTACATTGTCGACTAATAAAAAATATGAAATAATAACAAAATTAGGGGTTTAAACGATCAAATTTACTAGCATACATTTGTGTCATACATTTATTAAATAACTTTTAACTTTATAAAGTTATAATAGTTAGAGATAAAAGAAACTACTTATTTGTGTGTTTATACTGAAATTCCAGTTTTTGGATATCATAGTACCTAACATAATTATTTTGACTCGATGAGATAAACATTTTATTTTATACTATTATTATTATTTACGTTCTGTCTATAACATAGCTGCAAGATTTCCATTTCCATCAGCTAAACCTAGTCACAATTAATTTAGCTTATCTTATCGAGGTTATCTGATGCGATATCTCGATTCGTATGAGAATTTTGCAAAACATACGACTAGAGTGTTTATTTTTATATTCAAGATAATATTCTAAAAATTACTTTAAAAAAAACCCAGATTATGAAGTTAGAAAAAAATTCCAAAAAAATCTTCATTTCAGCATCACAGTGAATATGCGTATACTAATTACCTCACACACTTCAGAAACACTCTGTATGAATTATTTATATTATAATTAAAATGTAGTAAATCGCTCATATACTATCATTTATTTTTAATAATATTTATTGAGTTGTATATAGTAGTTAATTTTTCGAATAAAGTGTGTATTTTATAATAATATTATTATATTGTATAAAAATAAATCATGTGTGGCAAATGTCACGAGCCGTATACATTAAGAACCTTCTTCACGTTTGATTTAAGTATCAGTATGAATAAAGTCACCTTACATTTTTATTTTATTTTCAATATTGAAAAAACTATTGACAAATGATACGTACAGTTTCAACGTGGTTTTTAGATAGATCCAGATTGATCATTTTTGTGTTATTAGCAAATTGATAGGCTGCAAGTCTTTTAATTCGGTTGCTGTTAATAAATACAGTTCTGAGATCTGGCATACCATACAAATTTGGTATGCGCACTGAACACTGCGAAATGTCAAGCGTAACGAGTGACGTGGATTGTATAGTATTGTCAATAAACAGCTGATCGTTTAGGCTGACGTCCAATAGTTCGAGATGTGTAAATCCACTCAGAGCATCATCGCTGAGATAGACGAGAACACAGCCACGTATGTTCAACGTGGTTATTGAGTCCGACAACAGTCCATCCAATCGTTTTAATGGGTTATTCGACAAGTTTAGGTATTTCAGCTTTTTGAGTCCACTGAGTACAATTGGACCAATCAATGAGACGATTTGACATTGACTAACGTCTAACACTTCTAGTGATTCACTGATCAATATAGTGTTATTGTCTCGGCCAAGATCAACGAGAGGATTGTTCGATAAATTTAGAAACTTTATATTCTTGTTATTGTTAAACAATTCTGTTGGATTTATATCAGCGATGTCCATAATGGAGTTACTGCTCAATATCAGATCTTCAAGATTCCATAAGTTTTCCAGAGCAGCTTTCTCGATATTCTGGATGTTATTCATGGATAGATTGAGCCTTTTGCAATTAGTCATATATGATACTTCAAGTGGAATAAAGTTCAGTGTCATGTTTGAAAAGTCTAAATTTATTAACTGAAACAAAAAATAAAATTCGTCAACTCCATATTATTATTATTATTATTAATATTAATATTATTATAGAAACGTATTCAACGATAAACGATGAAAGAGAATCGAGAAAAATCAATTTTCTAGGTATTTATTACAAAAGTATATTGATGTGAAAGACATATCAATGATAAATTATTTTTATAATATTTTTTTAATGTTTTTAATTATTTTAGGTAGGCATATAAGTTACATATAAACAAAGATAAAAAAGTTATTAATTTAATCATACAGTTTTAAATTTGAATTATTGAAATAGGCAGCTATTTACAATACAAAAACATGACCAATACCATTATGTTTTAACGAAAAATGTTATATGTAGTATGAAACATTATTGAACGTTTGGTGGTTTTAATATAGGTTAGAGTGTTGAATGATAAATGATAATATTTCTGAGTCGAAAAAGAACGAAATATATTAAATACTATAATGGCATTAAGAGTTGAAATTCAATCTACGTCTACATACATAAATAACTATTTAATATATAGCTATATTTCTATAACACATTTTGCATTCACGTGTTTTCTCAGCAATAAATTTTAGTAACCTGTCAAAAAGATGAACAAAATGGATAATAATAAACTATTATTAATAATACCTGTACTTATTTTTAATTTAAGTAGGTATAAGAATCATAGGTATACTCTTCATTCAAATTCCAAAATGAATATCAGTATAGAAAGTCAAATACTCGAAAATTAATAATATGATATGAACATAATTTATAATTATTTAGTATTTTAAGGTACTTCAAAATTATAAAAATTATTTATTTACCTTGAAATATTAATTTATAACTTAACACCCACTGGAAAAATACATAGGTAAACGTGTCTTTTAAATTAAGAAATTAATTAATTTTATCAGATTATTTTTAATTCATTAAATATGTAATAATACCTACATTGTATCATATTATGTTAAGAAAGTTTGATTTACTGTTATTATATTAATTAAAAATAATTAGAATTTATTGGTAATTTAATATTGTTTCGTTATAATTTATATTTCTAAGAATTCAAATACAAAAAGGTAAAAAGAAGGTAACCCCTTTGCTGTAAGGTAGGTGTCGTGAGTTCCTCACTACTGAAGAGTGAGTCGCAGTAATGCATGTGCAGATACATGTGTATTTAGTGATAAATCATAGTTTAAAAAAAAAACGATTCTGAGCAAAGACTGTCTGTCGACCTGTACAAATATTATTAAGTATATTTTATGATATACATATTATATTTATATTGGTATCAAAGACATTTATTTCATTATTAGTATTAAAGTAGAATGAATTAATTCTTGCCACAAACATTGCATTTTAAGATCTCGCTGTGTGTATAAACTATTAAGTATAAATGTATAATTATATACTTTTAAGTTTCAAGTACCTACGAAAATATTTTTAAATTAAAACAAAATAACTCAAATCGTTATTTCTTGTTTAATTAATATCTAGGTTTGTCAAAATTCAAACTTAAAATATCTATAAAATATAATCGTAGTTAATATATTGTTTATATTTTTTGGTAGCAAATACTTATAAGAAACCTCGTACTATATTTTCAAACTTTTTGACCCAGTACAAAATTTTTCATAAACGTTTATACAAAAAAAATTCAAATTTCTAGAGTCCATAATAGCGTAAAAATAATCAAAATATTTTGAAATTTTATCATTTATAGAAATATTTAGATAAAACTTTTAATTGTAATTCATTTTTGAGTTACACCAAAAAAACAAAATTGATTTTATGAAAAATTCTCAAGTTTTTTAGATTAGTTTAGGTTTTTCGTGGTTATTTTGAATAAAACTCTCAAAAAAGCAACTAGATCCTATTTTTTGATAGAAACCACCGTAATAGTTTAAAATTGAAGCATTTTTAACTACCTACAAAATAAAAGATAACAATATACAGAAAAAAACCACGTTATCTTATAATCAGTAAATTCATCTCACCTACCAGAATCTTAAACAATCAGATAGGTACGAAAAACATATTTTTTTAAAAACTATTGTGCTTAAAATTATTTTTAATGTTGTAAATTTTAATCTAAATGCAACAATAAGTTTTAAAAAAACTAAAACATAAATTAACAACATTTTTATTTGTATAGTAAAATAGTATTGATAAATTTATGTTAAATATGTTTCTGATCATCTTGATCAACTTTAAAAAATAAAAATTACTTTTGATTTAAACATGAGTAAGTAAATTTTATATATTTATCAAGAAAATAGTTCATGCACTTATTAAAGTTTTCATGTACATTTTAATAGTATTATTAACTACAATTTATAGGGTTCTGGTAATGTTATGATATAGTTAATCACTTTAGTAATCAGTTATCAAGAATGCAAATGCGATATTATATGATTCGACCTCGAGGTCAATCAGTGCAGAAAATCTCTAACAATATTTTACTTTAATTCAATATTTCTGATAACAAGACATCTTAAGTCAAAAACAATACATTCAAAATAAAATGTATCCAAATTAAAAATGACTATAATGACAAAAACGTCTTATGTTTTATATAGGTAAGTGTTTTATTCTATTTTACTGATAAATCGAGAAAAATACTTAAAACATTGTTAAAAAAAATTTAATTCACATTGGCAAGACATTATTTGTAGGATAATTAGTTAAGTTGAGATTACTTGAGGATCCATATCATAGTTTAGGACATCGGTGATGTTGGCACCAGAGCAGAGCATTTCGATAGAAGAACAAACAGCACATTGTTTGGGACATATTGCTTTAGCAGTAACCAGATTATCGAGTATTTCTGGGTTTGTTGTCTTCACCATACAAAACAGTATCATCGCCAATCCTATCTTCACTGTAAAACCAACCTGAAACATAAAATATAAACATCTGAAATTTTCTAAATATTATAATATTATAATTTATTATTCGATGTGTTATTAACCGTAACACTTTTTACACAATTGTATCACTCCAACATTCAGAACAACGGAACCATTCCATCCGTGAAACCAGGTTTTGGATTAAAGCCAGAAATAATATGTTACAGCGTTACTTCAAAAATTTATATTTTTCGAGAAAAATATTTTTAAAGGGCAGTAAAAGTGTAATACAACAACTATTATTTTTTTTTGTATCCCCAAAATAGAAGTTCCCAAACTTGTTATATTGCAAAAATAAAATGTTATGATTCATTACCTAGTCACTATCACCCTCAAATATAATTTTAATATTTGTATCTATCTGTGAATGTTAAATATTTTTTTAAAGTTTTATTTGAGAATAATTTGAGTTTAAATAAAATGTTTTGAACAAAACAAATTTGTTTGAATAGTAACTTTTAAAAAAAATAAAATAAAAACCACTCTATATAGTTATATAGTATTTTTAGAATGAAATTGTTATTGCTATAAAACTTAATATAATAACCCACTAAATTTCTCTCTTGTAAAACAATGACATACCCAATGCGCGAGATACATGCCATATGTTAAGTAATCATGTGAGATTTTTAATATAATTTTATGGTTTTTTTTTATTGTTATTTTTTTATATTTTTTTTTTACATTTATGCGTATGAAACAATACAAAGCAAAACAAACCAAGTATAATTAATAGGGTGATGTTTAATAAAACATTTGAAAAAATTCAGAATGTGATGAAAAAAAGAAAACATATTACATTTTATAAGTTAGAAATGTTGAAGTTCTATGAAAAAGTGGTGAGAAAGAATAGCAATTAAAGTATTTTTATAAAAATTTTATGATAATATGCAGATGTAAACATATTGTTCTGAATCGAGTACCTGATTGATTTTATATCTGTATGAAAGAGATCGCTTATTTCAATGGTCAAGAAGGACAAGAACCAGAAAATGAATATAAGCGGTAAGAGGGAATATTGATTGCATTATAGTTTATTATACTATACATTTCCCCCCTTTTGATTCATTACCTATTGAAGAACGTCTTATTGTGAGTTAAAAAAATTACATTACAAAATTAAAAATACTTAAAAAGTGATTATATTATATTTCACTAAAATATTAAAATGTCATTAATATTTGATTTATTCACTTTTAATTTAACAATGTTGAATATGTATATAAAACAAATGAATACAATTTAAGCTACCTTACCAATTTTGAACAATAGGTCTGAAAAATTAGTTTTTTTTTTATTAGATAAATAAATACGTATTTTTACGGTTATTGTAAACAGTATTGTTATATTTTTTTTCTAACAAATGAAATTGTATATTTTTTACTTTAACAATTCAACAAGCGAAATAGCCTATGATAATTTTTTAGTGCATATACATTAATCTACGATGTGACATTGTTCAGTTGGTTTTAGACATACCTACTCGTTGTAAATGACGTATTTATACAACAAATTTATGGAATTTACATAGATTGACCAACGAAAACACTTAAACGTAATTTATAGTATGAAATCGATTTTTTTTAAATTATACATAGAAGATCAAACAAAATGCAAAAAATTATAATTAATTTTGCTGTCGATATCCCTAGTAAAAAATTATTTCTCAGGGGATGAATGAAACGAGCAAAATACTTTCCTCGTTTCCATTGTTTTGTTAAATGCATACATATTGTATTATTACAGTTCCATTTTTTATTAACTTTTTAACTCTACGAAAGTTCAAGTAGTTATTTATAATGTTTTTTACGGTATTGGCAAGTTAATTATTATTACTATTATTGGTATTGTTATATATTTTTGTAATGCTTGCTTTTAAACTAGAAATATTTAAAATAAATAGGTCAAAATGTTTATTGTAATTTTAATGCTAGCCATACATATTTGTTTAATATTGTAAAATGTAACAATTTTAATCTCTTTTAATTGTCTCGTTAAAGTTTTTAACATTGTTAGCTTCAAAACTTAAACTAGTAACTGAATCGATATCACCTTGAAATGTATAAATGGTTCTGATAAAGTAAATAATTATATTTTAATAATAGACACATGTATAATTATTAATCTTGTAAATAGTTTTATTTATTTATTTCTTTTATTGCAATTACATCAATTCGAACTACAGTCATAATGTGTAAGTCGAGTACACCAAAAACAAAATGAATACTATTAACTTCACTATTCACGCAGATATATATTTAAAATTCAACTTCAAAAATCGTATTATATACGTACCATCATACGTTCGTACCATATTAAGCAATCCCGACACGAGTGGAATACTGAATATCAAGAGCATCGAATAAAGCGAAGATTTAAAAAGACTAATATTTACACAGTACGTCTTGTTATCACGAGGTTGATTTTTTTTTAAACAGTTTATCTTTATTATGTTTAGCGTACTCATGAATTACAGTGTTCGACTGACAACTGAAAATGGCATCGTACCAGAGGCCATTCAAATAGCATGTACGCAACAACCATGATTAACGAGTAAAATTTATATTTTTATAATTTTAACGACTCATTTTATTTTCAATCGATTAGGAATTAGGATTGATAGTATTATGAAATATTGAGGTAAGTACTCGTATTAGTTAATACATTTTAAAACTTTACTACTACGGTAGTAACAAACTATAATATTCAGTTGACCCAGTAGTGAAATTAATCTAATTTCAGTCTATTTAAATCGTTATTATAAATACTTTCCAACTAATTTATTATAGTCAAGGTTTATATACAATAATAATATATTATATTGGTCGTTGCTAAATTTTGTATTCAAATACTATTTTAGTTACCTAATATTATATCAAGTATATACATTTTGTATTAATTCATTGTTGTTTAGTTACAATATTTTGTTATTAACAAGTTACGTAAGTCCTCAATAATTACGTCAGTTATGATATTATTAAAAAATATATAAAATAATTAAATAATGTAGGATAATTAGTTGAAATTTATCTACAGTAAAATTATAGGTTTTTCACTTGTTAAAAAGGTCCATCTAGAGTGTGTCTGAATGGGTAATTAAAATTAACATTAAATTAGAACGATTATAACATAATAATATAATATATAACTAATGGTTCGATTTAACGATTAAAACTGAAATAAACTTTTGATAAAAATAAAAAAATGCAACAAACTGTTAACGGTATTATTGTTGAAAATTAATGTGCAGTATCAAAAAATTTGAAATTCTTCAAAAACGGCTTCATTTAGAAAAAAATCATGCCGGCAACGAGTTTTATTATTATGTTTGTAAGACAATTAATACAAATTTACCACGGATTGGCTTATCGTAGATATAATTTGTTGTAATCGTTTGTTAATGCATGTACGTCATACAATAATATTTTACTCATATTATTATGCGATAAAACAGTTCTTTTTTAAATTTTAATTGGCGACAGTGTTGATGCAACAACGCTTCAATTCACGCGAGAGATGTTATTTCGTCTTAATATACAGTTAGGTATGTTATCTGACGATGATTTGAAGAAATAAAAAAATGATACCCATTATTGTTGTTCCTTATATTCGTGGTCATCGCTCCGAATGAATAATAAAAAACGATGCAATGCGCTACGATCGAAGGGGGTGAAACAAATCGAGCACGCTCGCTAAATATAATAATATTATAAGGTTTGTGGGGGGGCGTACGATTGGCGTGACTTATACACAGGCACGGACCATGCGACGATACCATCATATTATGCTTTTTTTTCCGTCCTTTATAACTCATCCATTACGGGGGAGGGTTTGGTCGTGGACTAGCGTCAGTCGACTTCAGACAGGTGGGTGGTGGGTCGACGGCGAAGGGTTGTTTATACAGTGTGCCGCGGCGTTCCGTTACCTCCATTGTCGAAAATTCCGATGCGGTCCGGAAAACGAAGAGTTCGGCCGACGTGGTGTCTGCGGCAAGGGGCGGTCAATGCATCCGGGCGGCGGCGAGACGATACAGCGCAGAAGACGTTTGCCGGCGCACGTTTACACGACGATGGACGGCGGCGGTGCACGGGGACCCGAGTACAAAATATATCATCGTTCGCATGCACGCGGTAAACCGGACCAGGTGGGACGAAAACGAAAAACTGAGAAAACAAAACCGTCTGTTGGTCTTAAACTCGGTTCAAAACTATGGTAGTATAATATAAGTCACTATAGTGGATATCGCGTTGTTCTCTAGGTTCAGTGTCGTTTAGCACGCGACGACAGAGCTGCACCGCTTGGTCGGAGGAGTGTCACCAATCCGTCGGCAGATAAGACTGGAAGGTTCGTGAAATACGTTCGGTCTAGCCAGTGAATGACACCGTTTAATTGCTCGGCGAGAACTGATTAAGGAAATCGTACGAAACTCACTTGGCTGCGCGTGTAGGGATAATGACACAATAGCCGAGCGTGATAAGGATGCCCCGTCTAACGCCAACTCGTTTCATAATAATATTGCCGTTTCTCTTTCTCCCGTTCGTTTGTGATACGCACACATTCGAACAATATGATGATTATATTGTTATTATTTTTTATTGTAATTGCCCTGACGTCTTGTCCAATTCGAATAAATAATATCTTATTATTTGTCTATTTCGAATGATTACAGTATATTGAAAAAATATGATACCTAGCACTAACCGTATTCCGTTGTATTAAGGCGACCGGTGAAAATTACCTCCGTATAAATATCGTAATATTATACAGGTATGTGCGTCCGAATGTATCCTAAATATCTTATTTATATGACGTACAGTTTTGTTACGACGTGCCTATATGCGTCTTTTGATCCTATGGATTCCGACGGGCTCACGCAAACGCAGCTAAAATATATTTAACAATTTAACATACTTGTACGTAGGTTTTTCGGCAATGCCTATACCTGGAGGTGCCTATCACATATTATTATTGTCATACACGATATACATATGTCCTCCCCTCTGTACTTCATTCTGTTATTCATAATAGAAAATATAATATTATGTTATACCTTTTATATGTGAATACTATTTAAATTTCAAAAAGCTAGTAATCTTTTTTGTCGTGGATTCGAAAAAAAACCAACAACGCGATGACCGCCTCGAGGCGTGAGCTGTATCACCAATAATTATTTACAACCGTAAAGCTGGTACTAACATATTATAAGTGTTTGAAAGCTAAATCGAATGTATATTTGGGCGACGTTGCGTCTTAAAATAATATGTCACACTTCTGCGGATAATAAAATTGTATTTCACGTGTTTTCGCTATCATAATTTGAATTAAGTCCGTGTACACGTCGTGCATCAGTATAATACCTTTTCAGATATTTTCGATGTTTTATGTTATTGGAAAACTAATCTGTTTATAATGACTCTGAATGTTACTGCTAGGTGACTTCTCTCCTCATGTCTTCATTTAATTGTATAAATTAGGCACACATATTTATTGTAAACACCATTACAGATTGTATATTATATTCTAATAAAGGTTAAAAAAAATTAAAGCCTTATAATTATTAGTGTTTCGTGTACATAGTAATTACAAGAGTTATCTAAAAAAAATATGTATTATCCTTTTTAATTTAGAGAAAATAGCTTTCAATGCTATAAACTATTGCGATTTACTATCGTCATTGTTTTGTTTTATAAATTCATTCTTGTTTATTGTTTATAATATTTGTCTAAAATATATATTATATGTATATGCCTTGTGTTCTATAAGTGTTACGTACAAATTTAAAAGTGATCGTAATTAGTAATAAATTCAATATATTTTATACATCGATCATATTTAATAAACTTGTATAGAACTCGTATTATACTAGTATATAAGCAATCTGGAGGTGATTCAGTTATCCCGAATCAAAGGATTTAACTTAATATACTAGTATAACACCAAATAAATTGATTAGAATACTTTGTTTGAATTTAAAAAAAAAATGTACATGTGAATTACAAATTATACAGAGTTTTTATTAGTATTATTTGTATAGATACTATTATTGAGTAATTATTATCTTATGTAAATTAGTATATTCTACATTTCTACATTCTATACTTCTGATGTATGACCAGTAAGGAGTTTAATTGAGTTATTAGATTCATAACTACCATACGAAACATGTTAACTACTCACTTCGAAACAATTTAGAGATGCTGGGGCAGCGTGCAGGTTGTGTTAGTTAGCTGGTTCGATATGTTGCCCTGGGAGACCGCTGAACATTTAACAATATTACTATATTATTAAATTATTACTTATTAGTTATTAGTATATCATCGTATATAATATGTATTTTGTACAATACCGGGCCTTTCAGATCACCTATGTTGGAATGATTTTGTTTAAATGTATATTTTTAGCTTTTGTATTTATAACATATTCAATAGAATGTTGAAAATCGAATCGAATAGAGCGTTTATATTTCCATAAAATGTAAACAATTTCTGTAAATACCATAGGTACCGATCATGAGCCTGAGGCTCACTAGGAATTGTTTTCCGATTGCGATGATTTATCATTACTTCCCCATTTTAAAGACAACCGTTCCACTCGTCCCATCTTGCACTCCTCTATCTCACTTTTTTTTTATACTCTGATGTTACCATTAAATATGAATTATGAATGAGAAAATATTTATAAAACATAACAAAAGATGCGTATTAAGGTCAATTTAATGTGAAATAAAAATTATAATTCAGAAATATTTTTTCGAAATTAATGATTCAGTCTGATATTATATTAGACTGCTTTATTATAATGACCTGTTTAATATACGTTTGAACTTTCAAAATTAAACTATAAACTAGGCGTAGATACTATATTTGCTTTTATATTGACATGTAACATATTGATAAATTAATACAATACAACTTGTAATATCTTCGATTATCATAAAAAAATCATGTTACCTATGTAGTATGTACATTGTATTATGTACATAGTACCCACATGGTCACATATTTTAATGAAATACTGATCACCATTTTCAGTGCTGCATAATATCCCCTAATTTTTTAAGTTTTGAAAACAATATTATGTTAGCACTGTTTAATATAGATTCCTATACAGTCCATTATAATATTATATATTTGTAAAGAAACATAATATCTAAATTATACTTTAATAATTTAGGTATCATAATTATTTTTATTACTCACTTTGGTATCGACACTATAATAATGATAATAATAATGTATATAATCTTTATAATTGAAACGATTAATATTGAGGTCAAAACTCATGGTTTTTGGCATCTATGTATGATTTGTATAGCATGATAATTATTTTTCTTTATAATGGCTTAAGAACCAACTTCAGAGTTGTGTTCGAATTTTCTGATATTTCTGACATAAAACACTTCTACTTTTAATCTGGTATATTTTGTAAGTAGTGAAAATCAAATGACTTTATCACAGCATGTAAGTCATCGACAATGTCGATTATGATTTGTTGTAGATTGTTCTACATTATGATATTTTAATATTACATGATATTATGTACTCGTTTATCATAAGAAATTTCCAGCAAAAATCCAATAAACAAAATTTTTCAATTGTTAAAGTAAATAACCTCATATTCAAAGATAACTCCGTTAAATAATATAATTTCAGCACAAACTGCGAAACTGACAGCGTTTTTAACTCCTCAAAAAAAAAAATAAACTGTTACAATCTCCTAGACAACCATGTTCGATATGTTATTGTTTTATAAGCCCACCGTGACACTCCGTGGATTTGACATGGTATCTATATAGTATTAAACTATTATATTGTAGTTGATGTTACAGCTGCAGTTATGCTGTTATACCTAACGTGACAAAATAAGCTTCCTTTACTTATTAGATTTTATTTTCACTCGATGACAAACAAAAAATCAAAGAATTATCTAAAACACGTCTACCCAAATTCCTACCACCAAACACGTTTTTAGTGCCGAAATAGGTACTCCAGTCGACACCATCTGGCCATTCTGTAACTTGTATACTTAAACAAAGTAATGAAATCGATATACGAGCAGTCACTAGAAAGGTTTTTTTTTTTGAAAGAAATCGAAAGTCAATTCTAGGATTTTCGTCGATATATGTATTTATTTTGATAACATACATTTAGACGAGTCCTTCTATAACTGATACGGTACATATTACTTAAAAGCAATCTGAAAAAGATTCGGGAAAGACTATAGGGTGTTTTTGTTTGTAACTGAATATATTCGATTTCAAAAGAACGAGGGGGTGGAACTTTCTACATTCTACAATGTGACTGTAAATTATCAAAACGTTTTAACACGATATAATTGTTTAACGTCATTGAAAATAGGTTACCTATTGAGAATGTATTTTTTGGTAATTTGAGATTGTATTTCGTTTTAGTTTATCTAATTTATTACAAATAAATGAAATAAATAAACTACTGTAGTAAATATTATGTTTTTTGAATTTTGACTTTGTTACAGGTTGTGTTAATTTATTTTATAAACTTATGAATATTTTATTTTTAAAACTTATTATTAATTTTAGTTGAGTGTATTTAATAATATGAACGATGTTAATATATATGAAAATAATGAATGTTTTATAAAAATGTTTTTTTTGTACGTATGTCGTCACCTTTTGGAGCTGTAAAACTGTTTAAATTTTCAAAATTAAGAGTAGGTTGTTGATTGGACCTGGTTTGTACGAAAAGGGGTTTTCAGAATAATTGGAAAAAACCAAAAACCAAAAACAAAAAATTGGGAATAATCGAAAATTTAACTGAAAAATAAACGCAAAAAGAGTTTTTGCCAAAAACCGATATTTTTTTTTTTTTGCTGTAGTTTGAAAAATGTAGACTTTAATTTGCAAAGAAATTTTAAGCAGGAATCTGTGCTGTATACAAAATGTACAATAGTTCATCTCACCCTCGAATACGACTGTATGTCCTGCAGTGTGATCCCTACACAGCAAGAGATTGTATTCAGTTGGAACTTGCTCAAAGTATATTTATACGATTAACAGGATTCATACTGAATATTCCATATCTATTGTTCGCTTTACAATATTATATGCTACTGTATAACTGAGGGGCTTGTGCTTAATTCATTGACAGTAAGTATGTTAAAATGTTTAAATAATTGTTTGTTGCTTGTTTAAATAGAACAGTTATATTTTATCTTATATTCACTCATCAATTTAAAATGTATTTATTTCTCTTGTGTAATATTGTATTTTTCTATACTTTTATTTATTCGATTATATGAAAAATTATATTAGGAGTTTGATGATTATTGCTGATACGATTCCTCCGTTTACCGTTTGATTTTTTGATTTAGATATTTTAACTGTCGTTCCATCTATCTTTCGAAATGTACACAAAATTGAGACAACTGACAATTCAAAAAATTTTAATTACTTTTATTATTTTAAAAACAAACACAAAAATGAAATACACAATCAAACATACCCGGCCTCGCTAGAGGACCCGCGCCGTATTTTTACCGCTGTGCTTACGTGTTTAAATATAATTTTACAATGTGCTGTCTCAGCTCATTTGTTTCATTGGCGTGTTATTACGAATACGATTCAATCTTTATTTGTATTATTTAATTTAACTTTTGAGTGTACCAAACTGGTTGGCGCATACAACAGTTCAGTAGAGTTTGGTATAGCTACCTATATGATTAACCTACAGTGCCGTTGAATTCTATTCACACTTTTTATAGACGCGTCTACACCATGTATCTTCATAAACATATAATATTATTATGACACGTGGACAAAACAATTTAATAAAATATAAACAGTTGACGATTTCTGTAACGAAAGTGGTTGGCGTTTGTGATTACTCAGGTAGCTACAATAGTACTAGGTGAGCCTATACATATAGTGCAATATAAACGTGTCTAACGTTCTCCCATCGCCAATTCATTGAAACGTTACGACATTAGATTTCGTATTTTTCTTCTACCGCCATTGATCTATGACCTACAATCAATCGCCAAGTCTCGTCCGTGAAAATCAGACGTAATTCGATTTTCGATCTACACGAATAAATAAATCGGTTACATTCGGTAAATGCGTTTCATTTGACGACACGGCATACTCACGACATCATCAAGTCCTACAACTTGAGGTTAGGTTAGACGGGGGAAACAGCCTCCGTTATTTTTTTCTGGTCCATGTTTCTTTGTGCTACACATTATAACAATATGACTTATATTGTTTCTAAATAAGAATATAAAAAATATATATAACCCCGCTACGTGTATTTTTATAGGAAATATACGACCCAATACATATTTCATTCTGGACATTCTTCATTTTATTTAAACGCGTGTAAAACAAACCATGGTTGTTGGCACGACGGGGAGTACGTTTTCAATATCATGAGTGTGTGTGTGTGTAAGGGAGGGAATATATTTGAGTCGGTTATGATGTGCTATTTGGTCACGCGTCGCGTGTTTTCCAGAAA